CATGGACAGGTACACTTGAAAGCCAGAAGATCTGTACTATCATCAGCTCAAGGTACTAGCCTGGAATTGAAGACTATTTTCATTTTGAATTTTATCATTGTTTAGTACCTTCAGAATTTCAGGGGTTTCCCAGTTATGTTGACATATCCCGCAAACTTCACTCCTGCTCTCTTAATAAGAGCTAGAATGCAACAACTTGTGGACATTAGCATTACTAGAGGTGTGAACTGAGTGTTAAAAAAATTTGCTCTTCCTCCCTCACTCTTTCTGCCCTTCACAGCCTCATCTCTGTGTTTCGTAGTGAAGATTTATTTTCCATTTGCTTCTCTGTCACACGTCTCTTAGAGATAATAGGCCTGTGTCAGTGAGTTTCCATTACTGTTAGGCATGAAGTGCTGAATTTGCTTTTCTATTCAGGTTATTGGGGGTGGGTCTAAATCTTCCTTTTACTATTCCTAATCTGGATCCCATGTGACTTGTACAATTGGATCTAGTGTTGTGTTACATTCTGCATGTTTTTCTTCCCTTTGGCATAAGGGTTTACTATGCCCTACAGCCAGCTTGCCATTAGGTAAATCAAAGCAATTTTAAATCAAAGCAGCTTCAACTTAGCAAATATATAACCTATTCTTAAAAAAGTGTGTCTGTTCTACCTGTGGTTTCTCTATGGCATATTGAGGTTGTGCAGCTGACCTTTCTTCCAGAAGTACTTGGCAATCAGGATGAATTTTCTTCCTACAGGTGCTCACTGCTGGCCAGAGTCTGTGTTGAAAGCTCTCTCCCTTTCATGTTTTTAAGAAAAAATGTAGTTTTATTTATGGTATGAACCAATAGATTAGAAACTGAGCATAAATGCAAATAGATACAGTGCTGTTCTTAGAAAAGAAAGTGGAAGTTTCACATTCATACAGTGATTTAGTTTATATACATATAGCCATATTCTAGCAAGACATCTGACGTGCTTATTTGCTAAATCGCTAATTATGAGTAAAAATACTGTCACACTGAATTTGGACAGAATCTAGAATATAAGTAATTGTATGAGACAACATGCTAATTTTTTATTAAATTAAGTTTCCTGAAGTATTTTGGGTTCATAAGAGGGAAAATAACATTATCAAAACCTGATCTTCTGCTATGGGATTCTTAAAGCTTTCTGGGATACGATTAATTTCATTACAAAGTAGCCATATAAACCAGGCCACACTCAGCTATCTCTCTTTTCAGTAGCTGCCTAAAATGGGAGAGAAAACAAGAGTCCTTGTTTTGAAAGCACTGAGATTTCTCCTTTGTTAATGGACCTCCAGTCCTCCCACTGAACACTGAGTGAATTAACAAAATGCTCCCTTTGTGCTGTCAGGGAGGCAGCTGTCCAAACTGCTGCTACTCCCTAAACAGATACTTGTTCCAAATGTTTAGCCAATAATTGCCATCACTTCAGAATTTTAAAAGATTTAATAGAGTATGTTTTTTAATAAACCCAGATGCTGACGTTATTTGGCCATGTTTCTAAGGCTTTGAACTTTACTAAGTATTTAATTTAGCAAATTATCAGCCTAGGTTGTAAAAAGGAAATTCATCTTTTGCTGTATCCTCTAAAGTGTGAAATTTTCCCCCATTCTTTTTTAATGGCTAATCACAACTTTTTTTTTAGATTCTTAACTCTATGAATCTGTTGAAGTTTTCGTCCCAAAAAAACCCTACTCCCCCATGCTCAGTTTGTGTTGTGAGTTAGGTGTGAGTTCTGAGGTCTCTGGATGAAGTGGGAAGGAGATTTTTCTAGCAGAGCTTTTAAGACTCTGCTTCTGCTACGGATTGGCCAAGGCTGATGTTTCCTATATGTTAGTCTCCATGGAAATACCTTAATTCAGAATTTTAAACCTCCGTCTATTTTCCGTTCTTTACAGCACAGGACTCCTCAATTAAGTTCATTTAATAAACACAACTTTTAAAAAAGCATATGTAATGTGTATGTTCTTTTGCTGTTTTGAAAATAAGCTAGCCTTCCCTTTTTGTGCTACACCATCAGGAATCTTGATAAACAGGATTCAAAATGCTTTCTCTTTTCAGTAGTATCTTCTAGTAGTATATTGGAATTATTTCTATAGTAATTGCTTTTGTAGTAATTTTTAAATATAGTAATTTTTGGTAATTGCGTGTAGCAGTAAGCCTCTTCCTCACCTTTTCTTTTCTTTAGGAAGAAAAAAATGGCCAGAAGGCTTCAGAGGCAAAAGAGGTAAAACTGTACGGTCAGGTTCCTCCTGTAGAGAAGATGGATGAATCTCTCTCCACACTTGTTAACTGCGAGTAAGTTCAATTAAAAACAAATTGGAAACAAAATATTCTCTTCATTCTTTTTTTCAGTTTTTGTGCTGTCCACTGTGCAAATATGTATTTACTATGTTTAAGTGTAGCCTTCAAAGCAGCAGCTTTCTCTTTTTTTTTGCCTCAGCTGAGCTTCTCTTTCCACACACAGTTGCTCTTTTTAATTCAAAGATCCCTGCGACTTACTCAGAAAATGTTAGGGTAGATTCTGTATTAATATTTGTCCCCAGAAAAATGGTATATAATTACAGGTCTGTGTTTGGAGTCTGTCAACTAACTGGCACATTTATGACCCACTCCAAAATTTATGAAAAAAAAAAAAAAAGCGGGGATTTAAGCAGGACTTCCAGAAAGAGATTAGAGCCGCTTTAGAAATAAACATCTATGCATTTGATAAGGCCAGGCATCAAAAGATAATCAAGTATGTCATATAAGTACCTCATGGTATTTTCCCAGAAGCTAATAAAGTTCAAGAAGCCTTGATGATTTGAGGATATTTTGAGTCTGTTAACATATACAGTCAGTTCACCATCTATTGAGAGAACAATAGAAAATTATTTCTAATGCAGTGGTGTTTAGACATGGAATTCTTCCAATATAGTGATCCCATATATACTGTGAATTGATTATTCTTGCTTTTAAAGGAAACTATCACTGTCTACAAACTGCATTGAAAGAATCGCCAACTTGAACAACCTAAGTAAGTGACAAGCCAACCAGCCATAATGTTTGTTTTTTAGTTGTTTGTTAGGATATATACTGTCATTTGTTATATGTATCCAGCTTTATTTAGTCCTATTCTTATCCTTTTTTATTCCTTCCTCTTAGAACACTACAATTACAATGTTAGAATTATCAGTCTTACTGGAGAATGCATGCTTAGCAGTAATGGTGTATTGAAACAGGTATCCCTGCACTAGCCTTGACAGTTGTCTCAGTGCAAGTTTAACAAAAAAACCAAAAAAATTCCCTTCAGTAAGCACTTCAGTACCCTCCAGTGGGCCTCACTGTGCTATTCAACACCTCATCAGTTCTAGAATGATGTTATGACCGTTTTCCACACTCATGATGGATATAGTCTGCAGTTCAACAACTCCACAATTGCCTTATTGCTTGAAGTGAGGAGTGTTGTAGACCTGGATGGAAAAATGTTGTTCCACTTTGCAGAGGATTGCATATACTTGGTTTCATTTTGTTCATGCTTTATAAATGGATGGTGGTGCCACCTGTCTAGAAGTAGAACTTTTCTTTCTTGGACAGCTGTCTATCAAACTCATTGGGCTCCTGACTTTAGGACAGAAGTCTTAATGGTCTGTCCTCAAGACTTTGACTCTGTGGCATGAGGATGGCAAAGAGCTGCAGGTTTTGGGGTGGAGCTTCCAGGCTTTTCTGTTCCCATTAAAATGCCAGCAGACAGACAAGGAACCTGGAATCTTGTCCTCTCCAAATGCACATCAATAGGTTTCTCAAAGAGCTTTATGAACTTAATTATTTTCATAATATGCTCAGACTTCAAAAAATTTGCAAATTCTGATCAGGGAAAAAATATTCCAATAGTCTTTCCAAATAACTGTACTGTAATACTTCAATTTGAGTAACTCTATCATGAGAGAAAATAATTAGCCACTTATACATAAAAGTGAAATCAACGAAATTTTTGTGGCATAAAACATTAAAAACTTTTAAAGCATCTTTAATATTTATATTAATAAAAGTGGATTCAAAGCATCCAGTCTGTACCAAATACTTGATCCTAAAGCCTACAGCTTCTGTCTCTTAAAGGTACAGCAAATGAGGAACTCACTGTCTGTTGGCTTCTGTGAAAGAGAGGGATAGCAGTACTTACAGCTATAAACAGGGCGCTAATTATTACATACTTGCTTTTGCTCATTTCAAAGAGGAAGGTGAGAAACCATTTTAAGGATCTACATTGTTTTCAGATGGAAATATGATTGTAATGTATATACCTGGTATGGTAGTTATGTCAAGTAGATAATTCTGTGTAAATGATCGCACCTCTGTATCTGTACACGAGGAAGAGGTTTTAGATGACAGCAACGAGTGTTAGTTTGTATTTTAGAGAGTATAAATATTCCATGAGGGAAGTTTTTATTCCCTTAAAATATATAATATCTCAGAACAAGAGTGATAAAAAACAGTAACAGCAGTTGGAAACAATTTTAAGACATGGCTTTTTAAGCAATCTGTCATTTTGGTATTTGTGTCCTTTCTTTTCTCACAGATTGCAAAAGCTAGGACAAATCTGTGATTTATAAATGTGAGTTACAGAGAGAATAGCTGGCTAGATCAAAAGGCCATCTCCCAGCATTCTCCCTCATGGATGGAGATACTTGGGTATATTCTGGAGAATATTAGCTATAGTAGGCATAAAATAGTTTAGACTTAGTTTAAACATGAAATTTTAGACTTTACTGGTTATGATTCTTTGTTTTTTGAGCATGGTCATGTATTAAGTTGTTGTGCTTCAAAAGAAAAAGAATTTTCATTGTACCTCAACTTTTTAGTGAAAACTAATCTTCCTGTGGTTTTAGTAGGTATGGTTTCATCAGGTGTGGTTTCATCCCTGCATTTCTTGAGACAGAACATACAGCTGTTTGTTCTTGATTAGCATTGAATCTTCATCTGTAGCAATCTCAAGATGCTACATGTGCTGTCTATGGAGCATCTGTGGCTACTTGGCTGAAACTTGCACTGATCTTGCCCTTAATTACTGTATTTTCAATCATTATTCATACAAGAGCAAAACAAGATCATTAAGTATTTCATTCTTAATGCAGTTAAGAAGTGTTAAAACATTTGTGAAAAGTATACATCTGAAGCTAATGCAGTTACATGCTGCAACTCAGTTTGCTTGTTTACAGCTACAAGAAAGTTTGTGGGATAAATGAAAATGATTATCAAAAAGACTGCTAGTTTGTGATAGCTTTGAGGTGCACTAGTATTATACTACACCCCAGCTCACTTGGAAAGGAGTTTTGTCTGCCTGGTAGACGAAGTTGAAATGCCTGTCATCAGACATCTGTAAGGCAGCTTTATATGCTGCCTCTAGTATAGAAACCAAATCTACTGCCTTAAAATAAGATCAGAACAACTTTTGCCTGAAGGAGAAGGGATATGAATTATGTAAGATCATAACAAGCAAGTCAGCAGTTAGAGTTCAGGTGCAAGGTGAAATAATAATTTTTATTCAGTATTTATCTGGACTGAATTTTAACTAGGGAACCTACACATGAGCAGCTTTGTGTTCATGAGTGTATTTCTGAGTTGTCTCCTGTATCCATTCCTGCTGATCTGTGTAGTCAGGAGGTTTTGTTTCTGTTAGGTCATTCTTTCTTAAGACAACCTGTTCAGAGTGCGGTTTGTAAGTAGAATATGGTGTTTTACCTGACTTCTAGCATCTTCTTATTTAAAAAAAACCCCTGTTTATTAACAAGATTTTTTTTTATCTGTTACAGAAAATCTGAGGATTCTGTCTTTGGGGAGAAATAACATAAAGAACTTGAATGGATTGGTATGTGCTTCTTAGTATCAATTCTTCACTAACAAAATGGAATGCTGTCTAGAATGTGGGGTAATTCCCCTATGTTTATACAAGTCTTTGCTGAATTTAATAAAATTTTATTTTCTACTTTTCTATGATCTGTTCACCCTCTTGTTACACATTGCTTCTGAATTTTCGGATAATCTTTCACTTTTTTTTAAAATTCTCTTCATGTTTGGAAATTCTGCTACACTAATTTACTACTCAGAAGAATTTTAGCAAGAGAGATTTTGGTGTCTTTGATAAAGATGAGCAGAACTTTTACTTGAAAACTGCTGCCATTTGTAAAGCCATGTAAATTCCACTGGCTTTACATGAATGTAATTCCTACAGACTTTTTGTATACAGAATTTTCTACCTGAAGATACTTAGGCTATTCTTTACTACAAATATTGACAGTTCTGTGAACACACACTTCCTGAGAGTCTGTCCCTTTTATGCTGACTGGCACCTGGAGCTGTATGGATTTAGAGAAGATGATCGTAGGACTGAGTCTACCAAGTAGGGAAAAATTTTTTGAGGAAAATATTGGATCAGTAATTTTGTTCCATTTTAATTCAGGGCAGAAGAACTTTTTTTCAATCAACACATTTTTAATGAATATATAAATTATTTCCTTTCTCAAGAGATACTGTGTGTTTCTTCTGCAGAATGTTTCTCTTCAAAGCTGTTTCCACCTTCAGAGATGCCATATCTCTTAAGTGTAAAATACAAAGTTAATGTGTAATGACTAGTCTAAAAAACCCTCTCTATTGAGAGAATTATGAAAGCAATTTCTGGCTAACAGGTACAAACACATGCATCTGAATGAATGATTCTCTCTCATACTGTATAACATCCTTTCTAAAGCAGTTTTTGAATCACATTCACTTCATGTATGCTTGCAGGGCACAAGCAGCAAAATTTGTCTCCTCTGCCCCTATACCTTAAGAACAACTACTCCAGCCAGCTATTTCTTGTTTTATTCTAATACTGCGATTTCTGTCCTCCTTACTTATATTTGTATATATAATTTTGCTTTTAATTCCCATGAGCATTTGTCATGCATAGTTGGGGACCCGCTTAAAATGAATATACCTTAGTATTTTCTCACATGAGGTGTCCTGTATGGGGTGAAGAAAGAATCTGAAGAATAAGGGAGATGTACTTCTGCTTACCTGAATAGTCCTGTCATTTTCCAGGAGGCAGTTGCCGATACTTTAGAGGAGCTGTGGATCTCATACAACTTAATTGAGAAACTGAGGGGTATCCGTGTAATGAGGAAGCTGAAGGTTCTTTATATGTCAAATAATTTGGTGAAAGACTGGGGTAAGCCTTGCATCTCTACTCTGTAATTTCTCCTGTAGTATGATGAATGCATGACTTAAGTCACCAAGTGAAAAATAGTGCTGGTTTTGAGTCCACCTGACAAGCCTGCAGACATGTGCAGAATCCCTAAATATCCACTCATTCAAGAGAGTAAAAATAGTTAGAATGTTGAATTTGGCTTCTAAGTCCAATGAAGTTTTGCTTTGAATCATCTTCTTGGATCTCTTTTAAAATGCATACCTGTTCTTTAACCCGATACCAGTTAGAGCCCAAGCAGTCCCTCTCCTGTTGTATCCCATACTCTTTAAGTTTGAACTGAGTTTGAAAGGAATGTGTGGTGCAGATGTTCTTTCCATGTTCCACAATCTGGTTGGTGTTTTCACCTTTGTGGTTACAGCAGAGTTTGTGAGACTGGCAGAGTTGCCATTACTAGAGGATCTGGTGTTTGTAGGCAATCCACTACAAGAGAAATATGCCTCCTCTGATCAGAAGAACAGTTGGATTGAAGAAGCAACCAAACGTGTACCAAAGTTGAAAAAGCTGGATGGTGAGTTTGGGGCATGAAGCAGTTGGTGGGAGTTAACAGCGTAATATAATGACAACCACAGGGAAATGAATCATAACCTCAGAGATTCATCTGTGTGCTCATGAAATTAATATTCCTCCCTCTGCTCTTTGGAGTTATTCAGAAGTAGTTACTCAGATCCTGACTGCAGGATCCTCTGAGAGTGTTTGGTGGATTTTGGAGTGTTAAGTCTAAGTGGCCTTGCAGCCTTACGTTGGGCATTACTCTGTAGTTACCCAAGTCGTTTTAGCATATGATTAATAGGGAACTGAAAGATTTTGTATTAAATAACTTAACAAGGCCTTCATCTGCCAAGTCGAATTGCAGTTTTCCCAGCAAATTTGATGTACAGTTTTCCCAACAAAAGAGGTGACATGAGGAAGTGGAGGTAGACAGGGATATGCTCTGCTTTGCTTGGGATGCAAGGGCAAATTTTCAAAACTTCATGCAAGTTTCCTAAATGCATGAATATCCTCCTCCATCACACTGATCTCTTCTCTGTGGTGATCAGTGACAGAACCCAAGAGAATGCCCTGAAGTTGTGTCAGGGGAGGTTTAGGTTGGATATTAGGAAAAGTTTCTTCACGCAGAGGGTGGTTGGGCACTGGAACAGGCTCCCCGGGGAAGTGGTCACAGCACCAAGGCTGACAGAGTTCAAGAAACATTTGGACAATACTGTCAGGCACATGGTGTGACTTCTGGGGATAATCCTGTGCAGGACCAGGAGTTGGACTCAATGATCTTTGTGGGTCCCTTCCAATTAAGCATATTCTATGATTCTGTAATTTGTGAGCTGTCCTCTCCTATTCAAGACACTGATATGAAAAGATACTAAATCATGTCCTGGTTAGTAACTAAAAATTAGATAATTTTAAAATATATTTTTTAATATGTTAATTTCTGTTAATGAAGATGTTAGCTTTTCACTGTTATCCCATTTACTAAAGCAGTGGAGAGCGGGACTGGTAACACTAACAAAGAGAATAGCAGTAGGGAAGGGAAGAGTGTAGGGATGTTGACAAGAGGAGACAGCTTAATTACAGGGAGCAATAGATGGGAAATCTATTAGGAGAGTCTATCTAAAACTAGATCAACTGCAGTAAAAAGAGGAAGTGGAAGCCTGATGAGAGAATTGCACTGCTAGGAAGGGTGGCCTGCAGTAGTCCATTTGTTGTTGTAGTAGGAAACATTTTGAGAGTGAAACAGAAAATGAAACAGGGCACATATTTTTACAGGCAAAAGGTAACCTTGGTAGTATAAGGTTAGACTTACTAGCCACACTAAAACTTGGTCATGTATGTCGTGGAAATAGCAGCACAAAGTAGGGGCCCCATGAGAAGGGTGCTGTACATCACCCCAAGAGAAGGGTGATGTTGGTTGTTAGCAGTTGAACTAATGTAGTGCATCTCCCAAAGACCACTTGAGGTTGATCTTTGCAGATCCTGCTTTAGTACCTTTTTATTCCCTGTTACCCAAGAAGCTGAAAAAATATCCAACAGAAGAGCTCATCACTTGAAAGCTTTTCTATTTAAGACCGGTTCAAGTATGCAGAAGTTCATGTCGGTTAGAAACAGGCAGGAAATACAACTCTTGACTCCTTCCAACAGCTTTCAGGTAGATCAGCATTAACTATGTCTTTCTCTGAATAATCTGTTCATAAATCTTTACAGATTTTATTCTCTTTTTTTTTTTCTTTCTCTTAGGTACCCTAGTTGTTAAAGAAGAAGAAGAAGAAGGAGCAGAAGGAGCAGAAGGAGGAGAAGGAGGAGAAGGAGCAAACTGATGACACTTTTTTGTTGGGTATTTAATTATTTAAGTGACTCCAGATAGCCTGGCACATAGAACTTTTATATAAAATATTTGAAGAAAATCTTTGGGCCATTTTTAAAAGACCGGCTTATCTCCACAGTCTCTCATCCAAAGAGTTAGTTACCAAAAATTGGTCACACTGATTGTGTCAAGCTTATGACACTTTCTGTAGAGACTAGTGGAGCTGAGTTTATCTGCTCTTTGGCTAGCAAGAGATCTTTACCTAAACTAACATAGAGCTATTTTTAATTCCTGATTAGTGATGTTTGTTCACTCTTGGGTTGTAAGAGAGCCATTTTAGCTTGTTAGGTGCAGCTGGCCAACATTTAATTGGAAACACTGAGGCCAAAAGAACAATGTTGTGGTTTAGAGAACCTTACAAGCTTTGTTCTGTTTAATTTTGTCATGGGACTCCCTCAATATTTTTAATATGCAAGTTTGCCTTTTTATTCCCTGAACTGTTATGCCAAACAGGCCCAGTAGTTGTGGATACACGCCCAAAAAAGGTATTGGTCTGATGATCATTTGTTCCTGGCCTTAAGTTTTGAAATGGGCTTCTGACATTGGAACTCAACTGCATTGCTTAGGAGGCCGTGTATAACTTATATATATTTATTTATTAAGAGGCAATGGGAATTCTTTGCATGGTTTCAGTGAGGCTAAAATATCTGCTAGCTTTTTTTTTCATCTCTAACTAAAAAATTACTTTGGATTGGAATATGTGGCCTATTAGCCTGCAGCTGGTTCCTGGGTTTGGATTGGCTCACTGGTGGACATAATCCTTCTCAGCTCTGGAATCTTCCTATAACTAAGTAGGCTGATACTAATAGAGAAACAAACAGTGAACAGAAGACCTGGGCTTGAGGACAGAAAAGTTTGGCTTTGGGGATACTCATTTTTTATGAAAGTACAGGTGTAAGAAAAAGCACAGGTGTAAGCAGCGAGAGAAAGTGTACGTAGTCAGTGGTGAAGGTGAGATGAGATGGAAAGTGGGCATTGGGGAAAAAGGTATTGAAGATGTACTAAATATGCTATATTGCAAGGTAACTAGTTCTTATATGACTATTTCTAGTGAAAAGTATTAAACAATGGTGAAGACAGGCCCAATTGCACTGTGGGATGCCAGTAGTGCGGTTTAAATTCTTCTCTTGGAAGAACAGATTGAGTCACCTGGATAGATTTTTCTGCAGCTCCTTTTTGGTTTTTGACCAAGCTTTTCTTCTAATTTGTGGTACCATCTTTGTTTAAACTCAAGTGATGACAAGTGTACCTGCTGGTTCCAGCCCAGACATAGAAGGGGTGGAGGCAGAACATCACTCTTAATTATTTTGTTTGTGAAGGTGTGGCAGGAGTAGAAATCTTGGAAGTCATGGTCAGGAAAAAAAAAAGGTAGAATTGGCCCAGGCAACAGTGGTACTGATCTCAAGCTCCAGGTATAATTGTAGTAGAAGATATTATCTCTCTAATCAATTTCTAAGTGCACTGGGAAGTAGATGATTACAAGACAATCACAGTTTGTTTTCAATATATTGCTACTTAATCTGTGATTGTTAGAGGAATTCTAAAGCATTCCAGTTTAAATTGGCAATTGCTGATAAGGTTCGAGTTTGATTTAGATCTGTTACTAAAAAGAAGGTCAAGAGCACAATAGCAAAAACTGTGAACATTCTTCACTCAGCACAAACTATTTCCAGGTAGCTGTTCTCTTGACCAGAAACTAGTTTTGTAGTTAACTAGTTCACTGGATTTAGCTTACAGACAACTTCATATTGGTATATTATTTCTTTTAGAAGTATTCTCCTCACTTTATCATTAGTAAAGGCACCACTGACCAAGAAGCACCATGGGAGAGAGTGCCTGTAGCCAACAGCCATTTCATACGGGTGTCTTCTGAAGCTAAGCCTCTCAGTTCACTTGGAGCCAACCACTCTTGGCAAAGTGGATGTGCTTTGGCAGTACAGAGCCTATGGCACGTCTGAGCCCTACTGACCCTGTTTGCTTGGGGGGGGCTGTGCCCTTGACGACTGTAATTGAAGTGAGGGAAAGTGTGGGTACCATGAGCCAGAGCTTGAGTGACACAAAACTTGCCTTCTGAATGCTTCCAACAAACAGAAATGTCAAATTCATCTCTGTGTTTGGAGATATTTTCAGAATAGACCGTGTGGTGCTCTTGTCCTAGCGCTTGGCCACAAAGAAAAGTGGTTGAACCTCTGTACCTGGTGCCTCCTAGAACAACATCTGCAAGTGTGGTGTGTATGGCTGGGTTAGCTCCTCATGAGATGTGACAGGAGAGAAAGGGAGTGACGAACACAGGCCAATGCCAAGAAATCCTGCTGGTTGATCTTTTAATATCTAAATATGGTCTAAGTCTGTACATTTCTGAAGGTCATGTTAGATACAGCAAATACTCTACACTTTGGCTATTTTTGGACATTCTGAGAGCAAAATAGAAACTTAGTGTTCTGACTACATGGTGACAATTGAAATGAAATAGAGCTCCATTGACAAGCCTTGAGGGATAAGAGCAGTTCCTGGCTCTTTTAAGTGACCACTAGAGGCTACACCTATGGGAATCAGTTCAAGAACTGTTGTAGATGGTGGTGGAGCTGGATATACTGTGTGGCCCACTGTCACTGGCTCCTTCCACACATTTAATAGCACAAATTCTAAAGCTCTTTTTTGGGGGGCTGCACTGTAAGCACCACCAAAAAAGAAAAAAATTATTGAAGGAATGGAGCATCCAGTCTCAACACAATTATAACAGCAGCATGAGATACAAGATTTCCCTCACCTTTCATCCTTCATATATTAGCATATAATTTAAAACCTTTCTCATAAAAACTATGTATCAGTCTCAAGGAGACAATACAGTAAGAAAAGAATAAACTGTGGCTCGTGTTTGTCTGGAGATGCTTCATCTTGAAGCTGGGTGAGAGCTTTAGCTTAACCTTGCTTTTCCTAGAGAGTCATGATTATTCTCAAGACCAACCCCCCCCAACTTTTTCTCCTCCAAAATAAGTTTTCCTCAATTTTTAAATTTGCACTTTAAAATTATGCACTGGATGTGGTGGAAGACATACAGAGGTGGTAGAATTAGAATAGATGGTTTGCATATTGCTGGTGCTACACGATGTCACATATAAGCTGACAGCAACACTCGGCCTGTGCGCCTGGAGGGCCGTCCGAGGGAGATGCAGGAAGGCCTGGCGTTCACTGGTACACTTTGCTCTTCCCCAGCACACCACATCCAAGGAAGTAGTAGTAAGCACATTATTATTCATGGATGAAAAGAGTACCCATGTAAAACATGCAAGCCATGTGGAATTCTGCTTTTCCCTGTGAATTTACGGAGGAGTAGCATCCACTTTATTCCTTAGAGAAATATCCTAAAATTAAATTAGTAGTAGGAAACAGCTAAGTTTTTTGCTTGCTTGTTGGCACGGTGCCCTGTCTTCAAAAGAGCTGATATATGCAGTGATTTTTGAGAACTGCTGGAAAAATAAGAGAAGAGACCTGAGAACCAGCAGATGACTCAGGTTACATTAGAAGTAGGCTCATCTAGAAAAATCTTCAAGCAAGAGAGCACTTTTAACATCCCCTTTGGTTATCTTTTGTATACATAATTTTGTAGCATGAAAAGCTGTTAAATTTGCTGTGTTTAAATTATTTAGGCCTATGTTTATAAATGTTATTCTGTGAAACTTGGTTTAAAAATAATATAACCTTATTTTATACAAACGTCTTTGGTTGTTGTGTAATGAAATAATTCAGCTTGTGAAGACTGTTCAGAAATTCAATTTTGTTCTCATTAAGCTTTCCTAGCTGCTCAGGGAGCAATGTATTAATAGTATGATAGCATGTAAATGCTGTTCCTTATTGCCTCTCTATTTTAGAACAGAAAATAACTTAAGACTTTAAAAATGCTGATATATTGTGATCGTTGTCATCTGATACATAAATATTTTTCAATCTTTTAAGACACTGGTTGTCAGAATTTGTTCTTAGGTCCTAAGAGGTCCTTAGGTCTACTATTGCTATATAGGAAAAAAAATCCAAATAAGTTAAAGAAATGGCTATTCTTTCTTCAGTACAAAATTACTAATTCACTTTGAATTTAAATTCTGTTAACAGCAATATACTATCAGTTCCATTAAAACCAGATAAGGGAAGGCTTCTCTAATAGAAACTTTAGCCTTCAGTAGACTGTGTCACTGAAATGTAATTTCAAAACTGTGACATAAAGAAAACACTTTGTACGCCACAGCCCGTCTCAGTAATGACAAGAGCAGCATCCTACAGTGATGGTTGTAACGCTGTTTAAAAAACATAGGCAGCTGCTGCAGAATTCCTCACAATAGCGCTAATTCAAAGCTTACTAATCACTAAAATGTTTTATAAGGTCTCTTTCAGTAACTGAAATAACTTCCAGAAGCTTGGGCTTAGATCCACCAGTTAAAAAAAGATGGAAACCGAAATGTCAAAAACTTGTGACTTTTTTGATAGTCCAAAGTTTGTTTGCATGGCTTCACAGTTTTAGTACAAACTACTAAACTTTAGCACTTTTGCCAGCTGGCTTTGATGGGAAGGCAAACACATTTATTTAAAGCCTTAAAGTCCTGATCTGTTATCTCAAGTGAAGGCCTTGGTGTTCCCTGTCTCTT